CCGCCACGCGCCGCGGGGAGCGCACGCCGCGGGGAGGGAGGGGTTGGGAACCCCCCCGGCCACGCCCAGCCCCGGGGGAGGGTGGGACCCCAGTGCACCCCCATCCCCACTCGCCCGTGTCCCCGCGGGCCTGCCAAGGGAGAGAAGCACGGGAGGGCCCACGGGGAGGGGGGGGCTGAGCCCCTCCTCCCAAGGGAGCAGGGGTGACCCCCACCCCCACCCCCAGGGCCCCACCCTGAGGTCATCTCAGGGAGCCCCTTGGTTGCGACCTTTGAACTGAGTTCTGTTTCCATACCAAGCCTCCCTCACCCGCACTTTTGGGGGTGATCGCGGGACACCCTCCTCATCCCCCCACCAGCAATGTGTGTGGGGTACCCTGGCCTGCCAGACAGGGAACCCTAAAATCAGTGAGCTTGAGCCCACAGGGCCTGGCTGGCCGGCCACCAGCTCGGGTCGCCGTTTGAGGGGAGACAGCTTCAGGCCTGGGAATCTGCCCTTTCCCATACTTCCCATTCTTCATACTCAGGCAAAGGGGGCGAGGGTCCCTCAAATGGTGTCCACTCCAGTCTTCTGTTCCGCCGTCCCAAGAGAGCACCTCCCCTTTCCCAGTCATTCCAGATTTAAACCCACAGATGATTGTTCCTAGATTCCCTTGACCAAGGCCCATGAGTCTACCAACCCCACAGCCAGGCTGTGGAATCCAGGACATGTCCCAAGTGGACATGGAGTATCCGTTCTCTCTTCTTTGGGGGCTGGCACACACTTGGCACAGGGGTGGATCATTGCCCCTGTGTGTGTTGTCATCGTGGGCCACTAAGTCCGAGTTCGTTCCCTGCCACCTTAATGTGCACTGGGCCCAGACACCCTCCTTGGGTTTGGAGTTAGGATTCAGAATGCCAAGAGAATGCCAGGCGCCAGTGGCTCACACCTGTAATCCCGGCTACTCAGGAGACTGAGATCTGAGGATTGCAGTCTGGAGCCAGCCTGGGCAGGAAAGTCCACGAGACACTTGTCTCCAGTTTACCAGGAAAAAGCCAGAAGTAGAAATGTGTGGCTCAAGTGGTAGAGCACCAGCTTTGGGTAAAAAAAAGCTAAGGGACAGCGCTCAGGCCCTGAGTTCCAACCACACAGAGACAGAGGGACAGAGAAAGCACAAGACACAAATGGCCAGAGCATCTCGTTTAACATCTTTTTTGTCTGAACTCCTTTACATCATCTTTGTCTTATTGCAACGCTGGGGTGTCAGAGTTAGGGCCTCCTACATCCTAGACAAGCTTGGGGCTACATTTCCCCAGGCCTTTTATGTCCTTTTAACACCAAGTTAACTATGACGCTACACTGTCCTCGCATGGCTACCTGGATGTGTGGAGTGTGTATAAATGGGCCATAAATCCAGCACCATCGAAACCATATGGAGAAGAAGGAAGGGTTCCCCAAAGGAAACTTGGGAGGCTTTTGTAGATGCTGGGAAAGAAATCTCCACACAACCAGTCAGGACTTCCCCATCTGCAGATGAAGCCTTGTACCCTAAACATGACTTCTAGAGCATACCCAGTCTCACACCTTTTTTTTTTCCTTTGTCCTACCTCTGTCCCTCCCTCACAGCAGCCCCGCCCCTTCAGACTCACCTGCCTGGCACTTCTGATTTACTTTTTTTTTGGTCAATTGTGGGGCTTGAACTCTGGGCCTGGGCACTGTCTCTGAGCTCTTCAGCTCAAGGCAAGCACCCTACCACTTGAGCCACAGCACCACTTCTGGTTTTCTGGTGGTTCATTGGAGAGAAGAGTCTCAGGGATGTTCCTGGCTTTGAACCCTGATCCTCAGATCTCAGCCTCCTGAGTAGCTAGGATGACAGGCGTGAGCCACTGGTGCCAACTTGCCTGGCACCTTGGTGGCTGTCTCTGCTTGTTGTCCCCCAACCCTCTGTCCCAACACCCTGGGATCTTCGGTGCCAAAGTGGGGACCACATTGAGTGACACCTGGTCTTGATGTCTACCATGCTGAGCTGGGGCCCCCAACTCCATCTGGGTCCTCAAACCCCACCACAGAGCCGGGTCGGGGGAGCTTAAGAGAAGGAGGCTTATTTGGGAGGTGAATTTTCTAAGTTCATCTGCTGGGAATTAAGGTGAGCTTTGCCGGGTGGTGGTGGCTCACCCCTGTAGTCCTAGCTACTCAGGAGGCGGAGATCTGAGGACTGTGGTTCAAAGCCAGCCTGAGCAGGAAACTCTGTGACTCTATCTCCAATGAACCATCAGAAGTGGTGCCTCAGTTTCCAACCTCATGCTTGAATCCCTTTCTACCCTGCGCTGGCCACTTGCTCCTAGAAGTCCTTCTGGGTCCGTGTCCATACTGCCTTCAAGTTGATGGAAGAGGCCATGAGCACATCACACACCAAGAGGCCTCTGATGGTGGTGGGCACCTGCTGGCTGTTCTTAAAATAGCTGCTCAGCTTGGCACCCAACACCCACTCTCCCCAGCAGCTAAGAGTCACCTAGGAACTCGGGGGCGGGGGGGGGGCTCAATGGATTCTCATAGAATTCCCACACCCATCTTCCTAGACACAGGGAAGGGCTTGTCTGAAGCCAGCTCGACAAACCTCCAGACTGGGACTTGAACCACCAACTGCAGAGCTCACACCTTGCATTCCTGGCCCACATGCAAGCACACACATTTGTGGTGGCTACGGGGACATTCTGTTCTGCATGTGCTGATCCTGGAGCTTGAACTCAGGGCCTGCACACCCTCTCTTAGCGATTTTTCTTTTTTTGCTCCTGAGCTACAGCTCAACATCTGGCGGGCTGGTGGTTAACTGGAGATAAGTCTCATGGTCTTTCCAGCCCAGTCTGGGTTTGAACTGCAATCCTCAGATCTCAGCCTCCTGAATAGCTAGGATTATAGGCGTGAGCCACCAGCGCCCGGCTTACACCTGCAACTCTTATCTGGCTAGTTGAGAGGCAAGCTCATGGAGGATCGAGGTTGGAGGCGAGGTAAAAGTTTGCGATCTCACCCAATAAAAGCTAGGTGTGTACCTCTCATCCAGCTCTATGCGAAGCATAAGTAAAAGGGAGATCGTGGTTCAGGTTGGCCCAAGCAGCATAAATGTGAGACACGAATTTGAAAAACAACGAAAGCACCAAGGACCGGCGGTGTGACTCAAGTGGTACAATGTCTGCCTGGCAGGTACAAAGGTGCGAGTTCAACCCCCAGGCTGTTTGCAAAACAACACACACACAAAGAACCCAACTTCTGTGACGCTCAGCTGGTTGGTCCCTTCCTGCTTCTGCCGCCGCCTTCGTTCTGGGGTCCCCATTCTCTAGTCTACACTCATCCATCCGGAGCATCTGAAGGGTAAAACAGCGGTGGATCTCATGGAGGAAACGAGGTGGGGCACAATGGCAGCCAGGCCAAGATTTCTTTTTTTTTGGTCGGTCATGGGGCTTGAACTCTGAACCCTGGCACTGTCCCTCAGCTCTTCAGCTCAAGGTGAGCGCTCTACCACTTAAGCCACAGCGCCACTTCCTGTTTTCTGGTGATTTATTGGAGATAGGAGTCTCACAGTCTCTCCTGCCCGGGCTGGCTTTGAACCGTGATCCTCAGATCTCAGCCTCCTGAATAGCTGGGATTACAGGCGTGAGCCACCAGCGCCCGGCTTAGGCCAAGATTTCTTAACGCAGTCGCATCCTCTCTAGGAAAATGATAAAAGCCACTGGCTGCCCTCCCTCACCCCTGCAGGTTCTACCTTTCATCCTTCCCCACTTCCTGCTGGACCAGGGAAGGAGGAAGCCCCACCCCCCCCATTCCCCCCTTCCCCCCCAGAATACCAGAAGTAAAACAGGCAGGCAGGGGCAGCTGGCCAGGTTTGTGCTCGGCCTGTATTCACACAGAGACACGTGGCAGCTCACATTGAACAAAATGAGTAATAAAAATTGGCTTTAAATATGGAAAAACCAGAGCCCGGTCATCCCAAGCTACCCCTAACACTGGGGCCAGGCTGGTTATCACAGTCTGAGAAGGGCCAGGGCTAGGGCCTGGGGTTCAGAGGCACGGCCTTACCCCACCCTTCACACTCTTACACACACACACACACACTCACCACAAGCACACACAGGGAGGGAAGGATTATTGCTGGGCACGTGTGTCTACTGTTAATGAAGGAATATTCTGGAATGTTGGAGAGCATGGGCCAGGGACACCGTTTCCCCTTCCGATGGCCTGGACCGGGACATTACTGAGCGATGTCTTCAGGAAGAGGCCCAGCAGCCTACAGAACAAGGTGTCCTAGGAGTTGAGAGGCGGAGGGGCATCTTGGGCAGTGGTCCGATGGGTCCTCCAGTCCACCCGATCGCTCTGGTCACGTGTTAGCACAGGCGTAAGAGACCCAGACACCTGAACTCCAGCTCTGACACATGTGCAGCACTGGGCCCCAGGAGGTGGCCTGAATCCGAAGCAGCAAGGGCAGGTGCGAGTCTCGAGGTCAGTCCTGGCCCCGTACCGTGCTGGGGATTCAGGGGTGCGTCCTGGCTACGCCTCAGTCCATCCAGGCTGGGCCTGAGAAACCCCAAGTTTGGCAGTGGTTCTTGCCCCCAGCTCTAGCTCTCCCAATGAAGGCTGGCTGCCCCCCCCCCCACCCCGAGGGGAGGGGGTGGCGGGGGAGCTGAGGCCTGAGGCCGGGGTGCCACCTTCCTGTTGAGATCCAGAAGGTTCTGGTTGCTATATACATTCGTACAAATACATAAATACACAGAGCCCCGCGCTCCGCACGGGAGAGCTGCAGGGACGCACCTTTGTCCCAGGGATGACCCCACGCCTTGCCAAACCCAGCCAGGCCGTGGGCTGTGGGGTGGGGTGGTGGGGTGGGGACACAGGAGGCGGGACGGCTCCGGCTACGTTTCCCCCGGCCACGACTTGAGTAGACGCTGGGGGGAAGACCACTGTGCAAAACTGTAAACAGCACTGCAAAGAGCTGCTACCGCCAGCCGCCGGCGGGGGCTTCGGCCTGGGGGCTACAGGCGGGTGGGGAGCTCCTCCTCGCTGTCGCTGCAGTTTCCACAGCAATCCTAGAGGGGGCAGGGAGACATGGAAGGAGAGAGGCAGAGCAGGCGCCGTTAGCCACACCGGTGACGTCAGCCACACAGCAGTGACATCACGCAGATAGTATGACGTCACACCGAGGTGATGCCATCACTGATCCGACGGTGACAGCACGGCGTGACGTCATATCTGCGTGATGCCACTGCTCTGCCAGGGTAGGCCGGGTACTGTCTAGCATCATGCCCTGGGACGGAAGCTCCCATGAAGGCCTGCAGCAGCAGCAGCTCAGGCCCAACATGGATGGCAACAGGGCAGAAGTGTTTTTGTCGGTCATGGGGTTTGAACTCTGGGCCTGGGCGCTCTCCCTGCGCGAGTGCTCTACCCCTTGAGCCACAGCGCCACTTCCGGTCTTCGGAGGGGTTTATTGGAGATGGACGAGTCTCACGGGACTTTCCTGCCCGGGCTGGCTTTGCACCGCGATCCTCAGATCTCAGCCTCCTGAGGAGCTAGGATGACAGGCGGGAGCCACCGGCGCCCGGCCAGAAGTATGGTTTTGGGGGTTGGTTGTTTTTTTTTTTGGAGGGGGGGGCATCAGCGTGGCGTGAGGGATGGGGGGG